GGGTAGCAGCAGTGCCCCCCAGGCTTACACTGCGCACGCTCCTGCCCCTGTCTGTTGAACAGAACAGACCCCTCCAATTCAGACCTGTGACCATTTCCAACAGCTGCAAACCATGGGGTACGCGCCTCCCCCCATGAGGTAGAGCCCTCCCCCTCCCCCCCAGCTGTGTGTCCACTGATGTATTGTAGGCTCCCCCCTAGACCAACACTGGGGCAACCTCTGGAACAGGGGTGGCGCCTCCCTTTCTTTGAACTTTAAACCCGCCTTGAATATGCATCACTGCTCTGCTATCGGCCTTTGGCCTCCTTCCTAGCACTATGGATAGCATCCGCCCTGTCCGCTAGTAGCTCAGTGCTGCAACCATCCTGGGAAGCAGAGTTCCTAAGACAAACTACTCCAAATCCGCCACCCACGCCTGGGCTATGTCTACACTCGTGGCTTCTTGCGCAAGAACGTCCACACTGCCATGTGCACGCTGTGCTTTTGCACAAGAGCTCCCACGGCAGTGTGGGGGCGCTCTTGTGCAAGAAAGCTCCGACGGCCATTTTAGCCATAGGGCTTTCTTGCACAAGAAATCCCAGCCGAGTGTCCACACTGCCCTCTTGTGCAAGAGGGCTTACACCTGTTAGAAAAGAGCAGAGCTCTTGTGTAAAAAGCCCTCTCTTTCCATGCCGTACTGTAAATTTCCTTGCGCAAGAGCGGGTGGGCAGTGTAGACGCTCTGCGGATTCTTGCACAAGAAGCCTCCAAGTGTAGACAGCCCTGGTGTCTTTGAAGTCTGTAAGCTTAGCAGAGATCAGGCCTGCCTTTTCGTTGGAGAACTGCCAAGCTAGGAGGATGAGGGCTGACAGGTGTGGGTCAAGAGTGAAAGGACCGGAAATGCAGTTGGTATGGTTGTACCTCCAGGGAAGGTCACAGCACAGCTCCTTCTACCAATGATTCAAGGTAAAGTTCAGCTCTTCCTCACCCTCAAAATTAGGGCAATGCAGAGTAAAACTAAATCCGTTACTCACGCTCCAGATCTCAACAGAGTATCAGATACTGCAGCTAATACTAGCAAGGAAAAGTAGCTCCAGCAAGTGATCTCAAGCATCTGGACATCATTTAATAGTACCACCAACTTTAAGAACCACATTTCACATGACAGGACCCCGCTCCGTTACTAACACCACGTTAGCCTGTTAGGGTGAAGTTGTTTTAAAGTGTTCGCTGGATACCAGAGCTAGTACGGCAGCTTTCGCTGCCTGGTTCTGCTGACTGTGATGCTGTTTGAAACACGGCCCAGGAACAAGCAGTGGGGTTAAAACATTTGTTTCTTTGGAACTCTGAACACGGGAAACGTTTCAGTGCTCATGGTTTTTAGAGAACGGGAAAGGAACCGCGAGCTGACAGAGCCAGTGCGAGTGCACGCAGCTGGGTTGCTGGGTGCTCGCCCCAGGCGTGTTAGAACGTGCACTGGCCCATTAGCAAGCAGGACGCGATCCTACAGAAGCACTCCAGGTCACTGCCTAGCCCATGTCCTGTCGCCCTAGAGCAGTGGGTCTCAGCCCAGGCTGCATGTGGCCCAGTCAGGACCCAGGTGGGGCACAGCTGTGTGCTAAACAGCAGCGGGGTCCAGGCTCTGTGCACCGGCATTGGAGCAAACAGAGTTGTTGGGCCTGTGGGCAAGGCAGGGGAGGGCCAGCTGTGCCCTGGAAAGGGGCAGGGAGGGCTAGCCGACCCCAGGCAGCCCTAAGTACTGCCAGAAGCACACAGCAAGGGACTCGTGGGATTTAAAGGGCCCATTTGAGTCACTGGGCCCTGGGGCAGCAGGCCCAATCTGGGGTCAGGGTTGCCAGAAGGCCCTCCATGGCAGGGGGCAGGTGCCTAGCCCCACACAACAGGGGCGGGGATCCCTATGGCTCAGCAGAGGGGGCTCTGGGTTATGGCTACTGGACAGAAGGGTGGGAGGGGGTTGGCGGGTGGTGTGGTTCTCCCCCCGCAGCCCAGTTAACACAGTTGGGCAGACAGGCGGCCCACGTTGATGAAGGGGTTGAGAATCACTGATCTGGAGACAGTGGGGCCACATTCAGAACCAATGACACTAACAAGATTTAAGGCACAAAAGCTCGTGGAGGGCAGCGCCCCCACATTACAGTGTGAGCCAGCCAGGTGTCGACAAGGGGAAGTATTTGTCCGCGCAGCGAGGGACGTCCTGCCTGCCTCCGGCCACCCGCTGCTGCTGCTACATTTGCGTGCGGAAAGCCAGAGGAGAGAGCAAAGCTCTGCTGTGGGCTGTAGCTTTTCATTAGTGCTGGCAAGGAGACCAGCGCGGTGACCGCTTGGGACACCCCCATGAGCCGGCCCTCCTGTGACCCATGGGCAGGCGTCACCAACACCAGGCTAGACAGACAGACAGACAGACATCAGGGTGCCGGAGTGGCTGGGAAGGGGGGCTCCCTTTACAAATGATCTCAAAACCCACCCACCGCTATTACACAGCGACATTAAAATAAACCATGGCAGTGAGAAGGCGCCTCTCCAAGGCAGGTTGCTGGAGAGATCAGGGTTGGTCCTACAGTGTTTTGCTGCTAGGGGAGGCTCTCAGCATTAAGTCCAATTCTAAAAACACTTTCTAAAAGCAGCTTTTCTGTGTCTTCTTCGGGCTCAAGCCGGCTCTAGGGGGCAGGTGCAGCACCTCTGCAGGCAGCGGTGCTGGACCTGCCTACACTGGGGCTGGATTCAGCCCTGTTCCTCTAAGGCCCCATAAAAATCCTCATTTTGCATTTGAGTCCTTGCGCGTTCCCACAGGTTTCCTTCATGCCTGTTCCTCCTTCAGCCACTTCAGGAGCTGGGGCACGTAGTAGGTGATGATGATGTCAGCTCCTGAAATGCAGCAGCAAGGGAAGCGTGAGGAGCTGCTAGACACAGGAGCCCGTCAGTGTTCCCAGCCTGCAGGCCAGGTCGGACCACAGTACGGTTGGTGTGGCCCACGGGACTTCCAGAAGCTCAGCAGCGTGCGCTCTCTCCCTCTCCCTCTCGGCTGCTGAGAGATCCTTGCGCACATGCCCTGGCAGTGACCAGAGCAGGGATATCTGCCGGCCCCTGCAGGCAGCCTGGAACAGCGACTCCCGTGCGGCAGGACTCCCACGGCACTGCGGGCAGCCTACAGTTCTCGGTGTACACCCAGGGACCATCATTCCGGCTGAGAACTTGCCCCACTCCGAGCGAGTTAGAAACTGCTCCAGCATATTCCCTAACAAGCACCAGCAGCCGGGGGAGCCGGCTCCAAGGGGAGAGCCTGGTCTTGTGACCAGGCCACAGGAATGCAGCTGGGAGGACCGGGGATCGCACAGGCCCGGCGGCACTGGAGCTGGAGCCTGGGCTGTAAAACAGGAGCCAGCCCGGGCTGTTTTCCCGGGAAGACACATTCAGAAATAAGCCCCAGTGAATAGATTCTTGTACAAGCCCTTTTACTGTGCGCTTCATCCCTCACTGCAGCCTGGGAAGGGAGACCCCTCAGCTCAGGGAGAAGCCAGGAAGAGCAGCAGCTCGCCAGGTCAGCCAGGAAGTGCTGGGAACCCAGAGCCCAGGCTCTCAGGCCCTTGCTGGAACTGCACTTCAAGCTTCCGAAGAGCCAGAGACTCTGCTGCTGAGCTGGCTGGAAAAGCACAGGCCCTGAGGGACAGCGTTACTGTGCTTTAGAAACAGGCTTGTGTCAAGGGTCCCGGTGTCTGCAGTGCCACCGGGCCTGGGCTGGTTACGGGCACAGCCGGCAGCACAGGAATGGCCGCGGGTCCGGGAGTCCTGGGTGGCTGCCACCACATGCAGGGGGGCCAAGGGGAAGAGCTTGGGACTTGCTAGTCATTCTGCTGCCCCTGCCCCACCTCACTCACCTGCTCGCCTGAACCCCGTCATCACCTCCATGACGGCAGCCTTTAGGTTGAAGGCCCCTGCCTGTGCTCCGTGCCACAGCATGGCAAACTCCCCCGAGACGTGGTAAACCGCCAGCGGGTGGGTGGGATGCTGAAGAGAGCAGCAGGAAGGTCAGCAAGACACCCCTGACCCTGGAGCTGCCTGGCCCCGGCCGTGCGGACGCAAAGCAGGGCTCTCCGCAGCTTGCTCTGGCCGCGGGGGGTTGAGCGCGCCGTGTCTGCAGCGTGCCCACCCACAAGGCCAGGACCTGCGGGGGGACGGCAGGGGCCACACGTCAGCGTTGGCTTCTCGTCAGCCCCAGGGGCTGGGGGAGTCAGGGCCCAGGTTCCAAGCAGCAAGGCTCCTGCATGGTAACACTCACAGGGGTCTCATCAGGCCCCATTGTCCCAGCCACAGCCAGATGCTCCCCCTCCCCCAAGGCACCGCGCTGATGGGTGCAGCCTGAGTCAGCCGGACGGCGCTCTGGGGGCTGGGACTGATGCATCTTTTCCACACTGTCGCGCTCCTGGCTCAGGGCCTTGCCTGTTCTCTGCCCACTCCCCACAGACCGTCCCCGCTGACCAGGGCTCACTTTGGCCTTGACGTCTCTCACGAGGTCAAGGTAGGGCATCCCCGGCTTCACCATCAGCATGTCTGCTCCCTCCTGCACGTCCCGGTCCTGCAAGGAGAGAACAGGGCAGGGGCCTGTGAGAACAGCCCAGGGACTAGGGGCAGGGGCAACCGGCGAGTCAGCCCCACGGCTGCCGACTCACCACAGCTCGCAGGGCCAGGCCCCGGGCGCCCGGGGGAAGCTGGTAACATCGTCGGTCTCCGAACGCAGGTTTGGACAGCGCAGCATCTCTGGGAAGCACAAGGGAGACGCAGGGCAGTCAAACAGCCGTCTGGCTTCAGAGAAGTCCCAGGACCCCGTGCCCCCTCCCAGCAGAGCCCAGGCACCCTGCAAAGGGCTGCAGGAAGGAGATATCCCATCCTTCGCCTACGCCAGGAGCGGCCGCTCGCTTAGCCACCCCGGGGCACCACAGCAGCCTCCAGAGGCCTGGCAGCCCGGGAATTTTGTAGTATTCGTATGGTGCTTGTGTGTGGATTTCCCCACCTCTCAGCAGGGAGCTGAGCAGCTCTCCGCTGCTGGAGGCCAAGGACTGGGAGGGGAGAGGTGGGGGGCTTGGAGCTGGCTGCTGGAAGGGCTCAGGGCTCTCGCCTGGGAACGGAGCAAGGAGGCTGCTGACGACAGACAAAGCTCGAGCAGTGGGGGTCAACGCAGCAGGGCTCTGGGCTCCCCAGCTGGTCTGTGCTTTAACCTCCCTTCCCTCTGCCCACCTAGGGGTGCCTGTGCTGTGCTCCCGCTGACTGCTAAACCGCCTGCTGCGGCGGTGCTGTCTGAGGGCTGGGCGACACCATGGGTGAAAACCCCACCCACAGAGCCACAGGAGAACAGAGATGAATATCCTTGTGTGGGAGCCTGCCCCTCCCAGCCCTCCCCAGGAGGAGATACTGTCCCCACTTCACAGATGGGGAAACTGAGGCCTAGAGCCCACTTTTGAATTGCTCAGCTCTGCAGGCCAAGTATGAACCCTTTGTCAGACACGGAGCCTGGACAACACACAACTCCCCTGCCCCCGGAAGACACTCACCTGAAAGGGCCATAGAAACAGGAAGCAAACTTGGCACTGTAGCTCATCACGGAGACCTGCAGGGAGATGGCAGGAGGTCACAGTCGCACCCTGGCCCAGCGTGGAAGTGGGGGAGAAATTCTCTGCTGCAGTCGGCTTGTATTACACAGGTCAGGCACCTTGGCATCAGCACCCCACCCCAGCCCCCGGAAGACACTCACCTGAAAGGGCCATAGAAACAGGAAGCAAACTTGGCACTGTAGCTCATCACGGAGACCTGCAGGGAGATGGCAGGAGGTCACAGTCGCACCCTGGCCCAGCGTGGAAGTGGGGGAGAAATTCTCTGCTGCAGTCGGCTTGTATTACACAGGTCAGGCACCTTGGCATCAGCACCCCACCCCAGCCAC